AAGTGTACGTGAGCTGCTTAGGTGTATGTTGAACATACTTTTAATACATTTTGCACTATTCCTAGTGGGTTAATAAGAAATTTGCAATAATATGAGTAACTCACACAGTAATCTTTATATATAAAGTTTCTGTGTGAGCTGTATTACAACTAATAAGACTTATTGTTAGTCTTATAGCAAAAATGTATTAAAAATATGTCCAATATACACCTAAGCAGCTCACGTACACTTGTTGATGTACTTACTGCGTGATTGAACTTGCTCATAAGAATATTTTCAAGTGATTTATAGTAATATGATGTGATAAAAAAATATTAAAAATGATTATAATCTCATGATGTAGCAAATAAAGCAAATAAATAGCTTCGAGCGAATAATACAAATTCTTACGATATGCTAGACAATCCGTTTTTCTGCAAAAGTCAACTTTGAATTTATTTGCTGAAATTGAGAAAATATTTCTTTAAATTAATTGAAATAGAGTAGAGTATTGAATATCAGAGCATTGAGTTTCAAATGAAAATAAGCACTTCGATCTAAAAGAAATCTAAAAAAGCCATGACTCAACCGAGTATTGATTGATAAAGGTCATTTTTTATCCTTATCGTAAGAAAACTTAACGGGATTCATCACTATGAGGCTTACAATATGTAGAAAAGTAAGAATATTAAAATACGTTTACTTCTGTCATATGTGACTGAAATTTGACTGTTTAGAAAAGTTTGCTAATTACATTTCAAGGATTAGATCAAGAGTTACTGTTGTATTATTCCCCTCTCTATTCTACTGTCAAAAGATAGAGAATTTTCCGCTTTAAAAAATCGTATAACGTTATATCTTGGATTCAGACGATGCTTCGTTATTTGAAATGCTAACGCAGAGTGAACACAGGTAAAAAAAAGCATAACAGAGATGAAAGAAACAGACTGTATTTTTTATTATATAGATCGATATAATTGATTATTTAATCATATTTTGTATTAGCTCTTTATCACGGATAATTTGTGCAAAATCATTTTCATTTAATTTATTTTCATCAAGAAAAAAACTTTTTTCCTAACAATTTTATCACAACTAATGAATGATCCTAAACTGCTAGATCATTTCTGTATCTGTAATTTTTTTGGCATGCGGTTTCAAAATTTCTTTCCAAATATGAAAGATAGAATGATTTCTGATTTTTAAACTGCATTTTGCTAGTAAACACAATAAGGTTTTATCTCTGTGTTTACTCTGCATTATCATTTCAAATAATAAAGCATCGTATAAATATTAGATATATATGACTTTTTAAAATGGAAAAAGTCTTTTATATAAACGGTTTATTAATGAAAAGAGAAGAACATAACTGTCATGCTATCGGACGTAGAGCGTCCATTATAAGCATCGTAAAAATGATAAATTCAAATGTTTAAACAATAGTATTAAGTGAACAAAAGTACAAAATAAGAAGGGTTATAGCAGTTGAATAGAGCCTTCAAACTTTATTTGACAGAGAAAAAACAGAAGTGACCTGTTTTCCTTGACATGCCCGTTAGACTCTGACATTTATTCAGAGTCTACACCTCTCAATTAGATACGTTTATGACAATATTAATGTTGATGAAAAAGAACAAGTAATATGTCTGTCTTCAAGTAGTGTAACAATAATATTATCATCTTAGATTGCGAAAACAGGACCATTGAGTTATGTAAGTCATATTCAGCCAGGTGAAAGATGTCTTAAAAAATCTGTCATTTTCTTGTGAAAATTTATGATAAGATTATACGATATGATTTTTTAAGGCGAAATATATTTTTGTTTATATACAAATAAAAGTAGATCTAACCTAAAACCAATAGGTGAGTACTTCAGATTGGAGCTACCATTTGTTTAATAATCAGAATAATTTTCATCTGTTTTTACTTTTATAGTCCTTCTATGGATTTTATTACATCATTAAGATAAACTTGACATGATTAATAGAACTGTGTAAATAGTTTGATAAGTTCGTCTGTTAAAAGACAATATTTTCGACAACTAAAGACACTATAAAAAAACAATTTATAACTGTATGACACATCCTTCTGTGTACGCATTTTTCTCATCATTTACAAGAAAGAAAATCTTTCACTTCCGAGTTGAAATATCGTTTAAAACGTTCACGTGCTTATTTGATACTTGAGATAAATTGCAACAAAACCGAAAAGCAGTTTTTTTTTGAAAAATGTATCAGTTTGATGGTGTATCAAATTGTGTAGAATCTTACGGTAATACCATCCTTCACAGGGTTAAGTTCGAAAATGTTTCGTACTGATATGATAGTGATTCATCAGAGATGGGCGAGTACACGGATTTCTGAGTACTGAGGGTCGAGTACGAGTATTTTCTGAAAAGTACTCGAGTACTACTCGCGTATAAAATTTTTTTAAAGAAGTCGGTGATTCCCAAAAGTTTCCGAAAAAATCAACTTTTTGATATAAAAAAACCCGAGTACGAGTATGAATACGAGTACTAGGAATTTTATACCCAAGTATACTCGAGCACAAGTATATACTCGTACTCGCCCATCTCGGTGATTCATAATTCTGAATTTTTTAAGGCAAAACAGCATAAAAACTGACCAGATTCCTTTATTTTCACTTTATAATCGAGATTTGTGATGGTTTTTTTTTTTACAAAGTTTTCTAAAGAATCATTTCTACTAGAGATTTTAACAATCAAAATCCTCATAAAATGTATATTCAAATTTTACTTACGTTTAGTTTGAAAGCCAAGATTTCTCTCGTCGAACGTCTGAGAACTCTTCGCGGCTTACTTATCAAAGAATAATTACTCAAACTTTTTTTTACGATCTATGAGAGATATATCTTTCTCTATCATTACTAGAAGTGCATCGGTTTATTTTTAGTATTTTTTAAAAATTCATAATAAATGATTTGTATTTTCTTAAAAACGAGTTACAGCATTTTTATTAAACGGCAGTTTAGTAGAGAAAACATTTCTCTACAAGATAGTATACAGAAGGTTTTTCGGAAGCTTTTTGTTTCCTTTTAGAAAAAGTTTTCCTCAAACCTACGGTCGGTTAAAATGTGGATTATAACCGCGATTATTAACCGATACGTCTCTCTATCAAAAACGCTTTTTAAAGAAACCAAAACACTTCAAAATTAACTACTATATACCATTTTGTAGAGGGATGTTTTCTCTACAAAACTGTCGTTTTAAAAAAATGTTGTAATTCGTTTTTACGGAAGCATAAACCATTTATTGTAAATTTTTGAGAAATATGAAAAAATCCGATGCACTACTAATCATTATCACTCATTCGTGTCATCAAAATAATTTAGATTAGCAAAAAAATCAATACAACAAAATGCCCGCTCGTCTTATATGGACTCATGCATGGTTCGGACGTAGTATATCTTTGTATAAACTATCCAGTTCACACTAACTTTTAGTTCTCATTTTAGAATACGAAATTTATCAATGTTACGAGTGACTTTATAACAAATTTATAATAAAGAACTACATATGTTAGAATTGATAACATATTTTAATGATTCAACATGGCTTAACGTTTCATCATTTGAAGGTGGTTCACAATACAATGGTTTATTGATTGAATTTGTAACTCGTAGTTCACATTTAAATTCATCGTCATTAACAAATTCATCAACGATTTGTGGATCTTATCCGTGTGTATTAAAATATTTAATTGCTGTTGTCGGTTCACTATCAAGTCTATTAACAATTGGTGGTAATATGTTAGTTGTTGTCGCATTCTTTCTCGATAGACAAATTCGTCATCCAACTAATTATTTCATATTTTCACTTGCCGTTAGTGATTTTATTATCGGAATTTCATCGCTGCCCATGTTTACCCTATATATTTATAACGAACGTTGGCTATTAGGTTCATTCTTATGTGATATATGGTTATCCGTTGACTATACTGTGTGTTTAGCGTCGATTTATACTGTACTATTAATAACAATAGATCGATTTTGTTCTGTTAAATTACCAGCTAAATATCGAAACTGGAGAACAAAAAATCGAATAATTATAATGATTTTAATCACATGGATTATACCAACATTAATATTTTTCATATCAACAATAGGATATCCGTATATGGCAAAAAATTCAGTTACAAACTATTATAATTCACAATGCGAGTAAGTAATATTTAAAAAGTTGATTTTTATCATTCTTGGTTTTCCTAAATAATCCCTATGGTTTTATTTTCAAAAGAATTTTTTAATCATGACTAAAGCGTACATAATTTGTATAAATCGATTATAAATTTTATGGTACCTTAAAGCGTAATAGCATTTGTAATATATAAATATATAAGTACACTTACACTCATTTTTCAATCAATATTGCATTTTATCATCACTAATGCAATTAGAAAATGAAAAGAATATCTATTGAAATCAGTATCTAATCATATTTTTAATATCATATTTTCAATATTATATTGTTGAAGTTTCAGTTAGCATACAATGACTGACTTAGATTAAACACTTTTTCGAAATAAGTTCACTATTGTATCATTTTGCTTAATTTAGTGTCCGATGGAACAAAGATCCATTTTTTAATTTGTGTAAGTATAAATCATATCAGTTATATTTGTTTAAACTAACAGTATTATTTCATTTCAGCATTAACAATTGCCTATTTTTGGATAACATTATTTGTGATGTTCATTTTATATTTTTTCATCTATCGAGTTGCGAGTAATCTTGAACGACGTTCAAATGCTAAAGCGAAAAAAGTATCAAATTTGATAGGTTTATCAAGTTCAGCAATGACAAATTTAGTTATGACTATGTCGAAACCTCATGTTGTTGTTTCTGATAATGAACAAATTCTCATTGATATACCTACGGTATCCATATCATCACCAAAAAGAGTTCGTAATAAACTACGAGCAAGTCGACGAACGCGGAAAGCGACAGATGACACAGATAAAAATGCTATACAACGATTATTACCAAAAAACCGTTTTTCTGAGAATAGTCTCGATGATGAGATGGAAGAGACACATGCTTATCGTAATGAAAGTGTTTCAAATGGTTCTAGTCAAAATCAAAATAATTATGAACAAGATTATACACAAACAATAAATCGTTCATCGTCACATGATACAAGCGATGAACATGCATCAAATAAAGGCGGAATGAAAAAACATGATGAAAATAAAAATCTTTTACCATCTATTAACCCAATAGTCACTAGTTTACAATCACCAAAAGTAGTTATCAATACTCAACAACAAAAAGCAGTTAAAAAAAGTAACAAAGCGAGAAAGGCACTAAGAACTATAACATTTATTATGGGTAAGACGATAACTTTAAATCAATTTCTAATTGCTCTTTATATGATTTGTTGTTTAAGGCGCCTTTGTACTCTGTTGGACACCTGTAAGTAATACCATTTCATTTGAATTTCATATTTATGACTAAAATATCTTGATGTCGACTCAGTGGGCGAAGAAAAAAGATTACTCGTAGGAGTTATTCATCATTTTTCAAAATCTTGATCTTTGCTTTTGTTCTTTAGTGGCATATTCATACTATAATTCAAACGTTGTGTATAACGTGTCAAAGTATGATGGTGTTTAATACCTATTTATATCATATTTGCTATTACATGTGCTATCTAAACAGTCCAATAAATCCATTTTGTTATGCATTAGCCAATAGACAATTTAAAAAGACTTATACACGATTACTACGGTGTGATTTTCGAAAATTATAAGTTTTTTTGCTGTTTCTTTGTTATTTTGTTATATTTCTGTTTTTTCTTTTCTATTGCGTTGATTGGTCTTTAGTTTTAGAGTTTAATAATGATCATAACTCAGCTTAAGATACGTAGAAAACGAAAATTATCGAAAAACACTTTGTTAATTCACTAAATTTAAAAATGTTTCATGTAATTAAGAAGCCATTTCTGAATGTACAGCTCATTCTCAAAGTTTATACTTTTTCTTACGTTTTATTGTTTGAAATGAATATTTATTTTGTTGTTTTATTAAGAATTTGCAAAATATAATATTAAAAGGAAAATATAAATCGGACTTAGTCAAATAGGATTTCAATGTTTAAATAAATATAAGTATTGAACAATTTGAGTAGTGGCACTCATTATGTAGAGCGGACCGTCTTCTACCAACTCGGTAATTATATTTTAGAGAAACTTTGTTTTAAGATATTGTCATCAACGTCATTTCACACTTTTGAATACGTTAGATGTCGCTAGCTGCACAGGTCAAGGTAGAAGAAAGAGAGAGAGTCAAAATGCTAACATATTGCCATGATACTCTCTGAATAAGGCTAATAATTTTCAATCAAGAATATTCATTATTTTATGTTCTCGAAACGGGCCATTACGATTAGGTTCACTGGATTATACAACACAAGTGAGCGACATACTACACATACAATTTTCAATAATAATATCTAACCAAAATAGGATTAGTTTGATTATATATACATTTAAGATAAAGAAAAAGAGTGTTTCAAAGTTCTGTATGCGCAACTCTCTCAATACCGTTACCTTCATATATCCCTGGACACAGAATTGTTTCCTGCCTAATCAAAATAATATCGGACAACGAAACGATTGTCTATATGAAACATCCATCAATAAAGCTTTTGTGGAACTCCCTCACTATCTTCGAAGAAGAGGGAGTAACAGTTTTATACCCCAAAATCGCTGTTTTTAAGATAAATTTGCCCCTCCTCCCCCTGGAGGACACAACCTCTTAGAGAAATATGTTAAACGAAATTCAAAAAAAAACATTCATATGCTTCAGCTTACAGCCAAAGATAAATAGAAGAAAAATTTCATCCATGTTCTTTAAAGTTCATTAGTATATTAAACTTTTATTTCAGTTTAGAATTAATTTTTTTTAAAGACTAGATGTCTCAGTGTTGGGAGTTCCACATTTTAGCACCTTTAGGTGCTACTCTGCCAAGGTTTTTTAATTAAAGAAGATAAATCACTAAAGCGGATAACCATAGACTAAAGTAAAATACAACTTTTTTTGCAAATAATGACATATTTCCTCCAGCTCTACTTAGTATCATTTTTTCTCATCTGATATAAGTAAAAGTAATCAACGCGTGTAATAGTAGTATTTCCGAACCAACTGTTATCGTCGTCCTCTAGGCAGACATGGGAATGTGACATTCATTCTCTTATTTATTCTCTGTTAGGAATACACCCAATCCTGTTGAAATTTAAAATTTATGTATAAAAATTCAACCTTAATTCATGGTAACATATGTAATAAATGCTTGGAAATTAATTCAGGAGTCATCTAGAGTATGCAATTGTATTTGCAACTGAGTCGTGTGCATCGAACCATCAAAATTAGTTACTTTGAATAATCGATAACGGATGATGCCATTTTCTACTGTGATTTCGTAATCCACCTATGAGTTCGAGTTTATACAATAATGCTTATGAACTCGAAAGCATGAGGTGAAGCACAAGAATCGATCTGGCATTTATATGGAAAACTTCTAAATAACGAAAAATACAGAATGAATTAAGATTAATATTGTCAGTATAAAAAGGTAACGTTTCAGAAATAATATATTACCAGTATCGATTAACTACATGTGCACTAAAGTCTCTCTCTCTCTCTCTCTCTCTCACTCCCAAATATTTTTAAACAGATTTAAATAAAATATGAAAAATCAAGCATACTTTAAAACTTTTAGTGTTGGGGAATAAAATATCATCCAAAAATGCTAATTCGACAAGAAATGATCGGTCACAAAATTGAAAAGTAGGCTTCATACGTGAACTTCTCTAAAAATAAAATTTTTCCTTATTTTTAGTGGAATGTTTAGATTGATCTAACGATACTAATAATCATTCGTTAAGAACATCCGATCAAACATAGTTTATGTTTGATTAGGGATGAAAAACTACCTTATTCCTTCTAGTTTTTTCTAGTACTGTTTAACAAATACTTAAAAGTAAATACTACGGATGTAATCATTGGTCATGATTACCACGAATTTCATCAACTTCTGATTATATGCACTTCATAAACTATCATTAGTATGTTCTTCTCAGTGGCGGATCCAGAAAATATTTTCGGTGCTAGGGAATTTTGACAAAAGAGCAAGTTTAACAACTTTGCTTAGGAGTTTCTAGACGACACGATTTTTACTTCTTTTACTTTATTACTATGTAGCACAAGAAGGAGAGTATAATAGTATGAAATCAAAAATTTCGGTGCTGGCAGTCGCCAGCACCCTAAATCCGCCACTAGTTCTTCTATTCTCATGTATGAGTCGCTGCTCTAGAAAAAGGTTTCGCCTATCACTGTGGGGTACTGTGTTTTGCATATATAAGATGTATGACGATTAATAGGAGCAATAAAATCATTAAATGATTCTGCCTGAAAATGTGCAACATAAAGTAACAAGGAACTAGCATCATAAGAATTATCTTATTGTATATGACAAATATGAATGCCAAGAAAAAAAGGTAAACTTTCTTAGATATACTCTCGCATCATCTACAAGGATCTTCGCAAAGCTATGTTCAACTGTCGTACCTATACGATACTATGTCGTGTCGTTCTGGAATTTTTCAAGCCAAAATCCTCAAGTAGTTCAAGTTAATCTCTGTCCACAACACTTAGTGTTCAATAAAAATGTAATGTACGAAGAAAATCAGTAGAAGCAGTATATTTTACTCTTACCATCGAAATATTCATGTGCATATATCATCGATAATATTATAAAAGACGTTCTTCTACTGTAAATAAAAAAGCTGCGCGAATTTATTTATTTTACTTTATGTGTAGAAATTGATTCTCTCGAGTATGATTTGATAATGCGAAACGAAGCTATTTTGTGATTTGTTAGATTATTCTGCACATATTTCTTATTCACTGTTCATTCTCTCTCTCTCTCTCTCTTTCTCTCTCTCTCTCTCTCTGTCTTTCATTACTCTCTGTGAGCTATTTAGTTAAAATTTTGCCTACTTTTGTTACTAGTAGATTATAATTGTAATCCTCTACAAGAATCGAACCATATTTTTTCGTCGTTCTCAGAATGCACCAATCTTCGAAGAAATGGCAATATTCAGTTTTTCTTTTCACTATAAAAGAAATATTAAGTAGTAATTTCTCATATCCTCAATCATTCCCACCTGGTACAATACTGTTGTATTTTATTGATGTTATTCTTGGGATCAAATATTGCTAGATTTTATTTTACACAATACAGAATTGATATTATTTGTAAAATAATGGTAAAATAAAGTGAGAAAAAAAGAAAGAGAGAAAAGGAAGAGACTAAGAAACTACGCGCTAAAAACTTCGAAAGTTATACAAATCGCTAGTTTACTAATATATCGTTCTTATAAATTTGTATCTTACAATAGCCTTTATAAAATAACGATACACAGACAAGGTCTTTTAATAGTTAACGCGGATCTATCACTGATTGGTCATATAATTAAACAGTTTAGAAGAATAAATCTGATTGGTAGTTCTTTTCCTCCGTTACTCGTATGCAGTAGAAACAGTATTTTCAATTTCAGCTCCTCTACGGGTACTAAGTTCTTTCCCCATATCATAAATAAGGATATTGACTATTATTTATCCAGTAGCTGTTAATATGAGTCCATGCGATTGAGTGCACTGTAAAACGAACAATGTTTTTTGGTCGATGAGTGTGACGCTTAAAAAAGTACCCCATTATGGGACACTTTTTCGAAATAATGCCAATGTGACAATTGAGAATCAGTGTCCCATAGTAGGATACTTTTAAAAGTGTTGCAGTCATCGATCAAAAACGTCTTCTGATGCACTTATTTTTATGGTGTAATGTAGTGGTAGGTCTCAATTTCATGAAGTCAGTCTGAATAAAATACACATAGAGAAATTTACAGTGTTTATTTTAGTATATGGACCATATACTAAAATAAAGTTTACCCATATAATGTGGGTAAAGTTTCATGATGGATTTTTTACTTGTTAGAAAAGAGAGGGAAAGGAAATCCCATTCCTAGTGACGGTTCCAGCCATCGTATGATAAGTGCGACCCTTAAAAAGACTATTTCTTTCTCAGCAGAATTGTTTCAGAAAAATTGTTCCTTTAGTGATTGCACGCACCTCATACTTTTTATTGTGTGCCGCACGTACCAAAGAAAAATTCTACATGCGCCACTATTCATTCCATATCGAAATAGGCAGTGGCGGGTCGACAGCGGGGCGATTGGGGCAATTGCCATACCAATAAAAATTTGTATGGCAATTGAAACTCGTTCAAGACTAGCAAAAAAAAACGTCTTAAACAGAGCATTTTTTTGCAAGCAAAAACTTTCCCAGACTTATTGCCATATCAAACTTTTGGGTCTCGGCCCGCCACTGGAAATAGGATCCAAAAATCTTTTATACGCCGTCTGTCTAAGAAGAAAAATTTTTTTAGAAATGATCGTTCAACCGATAAAAGTTTAGTAGTAAAGTTTAGCTTACTTAGCGTAAGCTCCTTGACATAATAACAGTTAAAAACAATATGTACTTACAATGAAGCATTTGGTATATTCAACGATAGCAAAACATTTTTGTGTATGTATGTAACTTGTTGAAGAAATAAAGATGTTAGGATTCTCCCACATTGTCCAAAAAATGTTGCTAGGTCAATAAAAAATTCTGGATAAACAGAGAGAGAGAGAGAGAGAGAGAGAGAGAGAGAGAAAGAATGCATTGGTTATGTGAGTTTTATCAT